CCTTGTCTAATGCTAAATGTTACACTATCTGAAACCTAGCACTATTTTGCCTTTACCGGGGCTAAGCTCTGTCCCAATCCTATGCAATACTAAGCTTTGTCTTGTTTTGCTCATATGATCCATCATCATGTCTCTATCCAAGGGTGTCATAGTCCGAAGGCATCATCCTCATAGCCTGAAGACACCATGTCATGGCCTAAATATCTCTCAATACTGCACATCATTATTCAAAGGTGTCATGGTTCAGAGGCACCATTCTCATAGCCCGAGAACATCATTCCATGGCCTACGAATCCCTTATCTCACGATTCATGATCTAGGATGTCATGGTCTAAGGAAACCATCCTCACCATCTGAAGACAATCTTCATTGTCCAAAGGGAATTTGCATCATGTTTAAATTATCACAATAACCTATATATATTTGCGTGCATCGTGTATTAAGTTTTTGCAGGTAACTCAGTAGGTAACTGTTCTTCAAACATGAGCAACCTTCGCTCCAGTTTTTGCTCATACCATTCACACCCTGCCATTATTTCAAACGTAACCGACTCCCATAAATTAACCACTTTACCCTATGACCGTTCAGATATCTTCCCTGTGATACATCCAAGACATCTCAAATTCACATTCGTGACTTTGCATAAATTCATCTAATACTATCCTACTCAAAAGAACCTTTCTGAAACATACGACCGTTCCTATAACAATTCAATTGGTTTCGTTCACCGTTGGGTCCAGAACTACACATGGCATGATTCCTGTAAAATCAGGGATATGTAGGCAGCACAAAGACCAGAGTTCGTCCTATAGTTTTTCAAAAAACACCACATTTGGTCAAAATCGGTCATTATTTCTTTACCCAACAACTCTTTCATTCTTCCCAGGTAAAGAGGGGCAGTTGTTGATACCCAATTTTTTCCTCATATATTTTAAATATACATACATACTTTAAAATAGTTCACATGCATTATCATTGGATTTACAAGCATGCACAAGTATTTTTCATAATTTTTCTAAAATTTTAAAGGCTTTAAATCAACTTATTTTTTATATTTTTATTGTATAAATATACAATAATTACCTTTCATTTTATTTTTCTGATGATTTCATCATCTAAATTTATCATTTATGCCAACATAGTATTTAAATATTTTTAGTGCATTTTTTATAATTACATTTGCATTTTGGCTAAATTGCATATTTTTGCGATAATAGCCCATATTAGTGTATAATTATATTGCTTATCCAAAAAATGATATTTTATATTTTTAAAATATTAAATAACTATTATAAATTAGTTTAGTGAACAAAAGATATTTTTAGTATTCATTTATTATTTTTATAAATTATTTATTTATTAAAATTGGGTATTTAAAATCTTGCCCATTTTTTATTTAAATTCAGACCAACCCAATTACTTGAAATACACCAGCCCAGCAACCTAGCCCAAACCAAACGACCCCTAACCCAATACCCAATTGGTAACCTAATATTTAACCCGACCCAAACCTTTCTTTTAATCCTGGTCGTTGATCTCTCAAGATCAACGGCCTCCATTCACCTCCTCCCCTTTAATTAAAACCTATCCTAACCCTAACCCCTCATTCCTTTAAACTTGCCACCCTCAAACACTCCTCTTTTCTCTTGTGAAACCCTAGCACCGTCACCTCTAATCCCTTTCAATTCCAACTAGATATGGAATCAATCGGGGATTTTCTTACCTTAGTGATTCTTTTTCGCTATTGGATACTTGTTTATGGCATAACATAATTGCTTTCCTAACATGGCAAGCCGATTTTCCTCATTTTGGACCAAATCTGGTTCGAACCTTCACTCATTTTCATCTATGTTCATTCTTCGTCTCTTTATGGTATGAATCTCTAAGATTTGATTCGATTTTTCATTTACCCTAAAGCTAGGGTTCAGATCTTTTCAAGATCTGTTCTAGTTTTTTTATTTTTGTTAAATATTTTCTTTAATATTCCCGTATATCTATCTATGTGCATTTTATTATGATTTTCGTTGATATTTCTAACGAGTTTTATTTGCCCTAAAATTAGGGCTCAGATCTGTTATGGTTCTTATTTCTATTAAACATTTTTTTAACGTTTCATTTTTTTTTTGGCAATCCTCTAGGTAAGCGCCTAGGGCTAGTTTTATTATATATATAAATCCAAACAAAACAAAACGTACATAATGTCAGGTTGTCTTGCGTAATGGAAAAAATAACTATGACTATTACATAATACCTATTACCAATATTGAGAACGGAGCTCTACATTGGTATCATATATGGACTGATATGGTTATTGACGAAAAATCTTGCCCCTGCAGCTTATTAGTACGAGTGTCCAAATTCAAATTTTGCATATTGCACATATAGGCTCTTAACCATGTAGCTACTACCCAGATTTTGCTTGTATAGGCATGCTTTGAATTATTCTTATGATAGTAGATGTTCTCATGAATTCTTGATTCTTGATTCTGCCAAACTTACGCGATGATGTATCCTTGTGCAATCCCTCCTGATCCACGAGATATTGGTCCCAGTGTTTGTAGCTTGAGCTTTACCCTTCAAAGTCTAATGCCAAATAAAATGTCCATCCCACTGAGAATCAAGCTCTTAGTGTAAAATTGCCCATGTTTGTTGTTTGTGCATCCTCTTCTGCTTGTCGAAACCGAGCTGGCATCCTATTATTTAATTACAGCTTTTGTCGAAAACATAACTTGCTTCTCGAAATCATGCGTTCATTTAATACAGTTGTATCCATGAACTGTCATAACATGCTTTATCCCATTCCCAATATAGTCGCAAAATAGGCATGCGATCATCCAGTCTGACCACTTTTCTTCCAAGTCAAGCTCACCCCATGCATATGCCATCTCCAGTAATGTGAGAAAGCATGCACTATCAAAGTAGCACATTCCAATTCATTGTCCAGCGTGCGTTGCATTTCCAGCGCGAAATTCATTTGAAAACAGGCGATTCCATTTGAAAACAGGCGTGTATCCCTGTTGTAATTTAAAATGTCGTCCTAAAAAGACACGCCCCCACATCTTTTGTTTTGAATGCTGCCAGTATCCATGCGTGTATCAAGATTCTTTCCAAATTGCATCCTTGTGGTCGCACATGGTGTAATCCAGCTTTTCTAGAATTGTGCAAATCAAGTGCATGCTCAAAGCACTCCTAATAAAACATGTCCCCGTTTTTGTTGTCAAGACCCCATGCGCATGCCTTCTTGCTGGACGACTTTCCACCCCATGCGTAGGCCATGCGTGCATCTCCAGCAATGAGAGAAACAATTCCAGCGTGCAATTTCATGTCCAACCCAATTTCGTGCAATTAGTGCAATTTCATGGACACGCTCTACCATTTCTCGAATTTAGCTAAAGTATTGCATGCTCAAGTATCAAAAGCATTCATGTCCAGCATGCTTTACCTTCCAGCGTGCCTTTCTATGTGAGAGCATGCGTGCCTCCCTTTTTGTATTTTACTCCCAAATTTCACGTCCCAGCTGCTCTGGTTGTGGCAGCTGCTACCCTCCACGCGTGTGCTTTGTTCTTCCCTTCCTTCATTCATTTTTGCTCGATTGCGCTGCCCAGGCCAAGAGACAGGCTTCACGCTTTTCACATAAACCATGTGCTTACATGAAAGGGTTTCTCGCAGCCCTCCATGCCAATTCCCTAGCGTGCTTGTGCAGATTCCAATAAATTTGTTATTTGTTACTGTGCATAATATCACGTGCCCATCTTGTTTACTGAAATGTTTTTGTTCTTTAACATAACGTAGTTGTACCTATGCGATAGAAATACCCTCCTCCCTTAGGATTTGAATATATTGGTCGATTAAGTTGACATGCTTCCTGCTCTTCCTTTTCTCTTTGCTTCTTATCTCCTGTCCAGCTTCACCCTTAGACTTGGACATTGCAGCTTATCTTTATTAACCAACCTCCTTCCCTGTGCATCTAGATGCCAGAATTGTTGGCATTTTATTTCTCTATGATCTAAAGCATAATTAGCCAAATGATCAGCCAGCTTGTTGCCCTCCCTATGAATATGAGTAACTGTGTAATTGCCCCCATTCATTAGTTGCATCATTTCCTCTACCTGCTCAGATATGATCCATGGTGGTTTCCAAATCCCATCCATTATCTTTTTTAATAACATTGAGTCAGTTTGAAGCCATACATGAGAGTATTGTTGAAATCTGCAGAACCTTAGTGCTTTTACCATGGCCTTCGCTTCAGCTACTGTGTTTGTTGTCTCCTCAATCTCCCTCCCTACTGACTTGACTATGTTACCATTTTCATTTCTTATACAAAAACCTATTGAGCTCCTGCCTGGATTTCCCCTCGATGCCCCATCCGTATTAACTTTTAGCCATCCTGCACTTGGAAGTTCCCACATGAATTTGGTAACCTTAAGTTTGGGAGTGAAATTTTCCATCATAGCTAGAAGATCTTTCCATTTGTGAGGTACCATGTCCATCCCAGGCTTTCTCACTTTCACCAATGCCTGAAGATTTGATGAAACTTGATAAATCACCCTGCTAGTTGTCACAGCATCAACATACTTCATACTATTTCTTCTTTTCCAGAGTTCCCATACTACGCATGAGGGGAGTGCTTGCATTACTGGTTTGAGCCTTAAGCACACATTTGCAGTCCAATATTTTGTGATTGCTTGGTGCAATGTAACTCCCTCCACAACTATTCCTGCCCTCAATAGAAAATACTTCCAAGTTGTCTTTGCAGTTTCTGATCTAAAAAACAAGTGCTGAAGAGATTCCTCATCAGGTTGTACACAACACCAACATTTTGATGGCATGCAGTAGCCTACCTTTTTCAAGAAATCATCTAAAGGTATCTTTGCTTTCCACATTTTCCACATGAAAAATGCTATTTTAAAAGGCAGTCCCTTTACCCAAATCATCCTATAAGCTGTTCTTGGTTCGTCTCTTCTTCTCGTATAATCCCATGCTGACTTAACACTGAAATATCATCTTGTTTCCAGCATCCAACAAGGCACGTCAAGAACCTGTTGAGGTGAAGGTGGTTTGATTTTCTCTAGAATGTATACTGCTAAGTCTTCATGAAGCATTTCAAATAGCCTGTCCACATCCCACTCACCATCTAAGGTAACCTCATGTACATTTTGTATTGTTTCATCAATGCCAAAGTCCTGAGGAACCAAAAAATATAGTGCCCCAAGACATGTCCAGTTTTCAAACCAAAAAAGTGTGGATCCCCTTTTTGTTTGCCAAAAGATTTGATGTTCAATCAGATCTCTGCATTCCAGCATTTTTCTCCAAATGTGAGACCCTTTTTCCATGGAACAACTACTGAATTCATTTTCTTACAGTATTTCTGACATACGAAAGAGCTCCATAGGCTTGGTTTTGTTCTGAAATTCCACTACAACTTGCTGAATAATGCCTTTGCTACATCATGTAGTGACCTAAAACCTATTCCTCCTTCCTCAACTGGCATGCATAAGGTATTCCATGAAGCACAATGCCTACTAGTTCATCCTACAGAGCTGCTCCAGAAAAACTGAGCAAACAATTTGTGCAACCTATTTATCACATATTTTGGAGGGTTTACAGCTGATAGTAGATGCATAGTCATGCTTTGCAGTACATGGGATATGAGAACTGCCCTACCCCCTACCGATAATAACTTTCCCTATCATGATTGCATTTTGTCCATTACCTTAGTAATTAGGGGCTGATAGTATTCCAACTTTCTTCTTGCATAAAAAATAGGACAACCTAGGTATATGATAGGAAATTCATTCCTATGAATGCATGTTATCCTTTCCACCTTGCTGAACACTTCCATGTGTGTTAAATGATGCAGGTACACAGCTGATTTGGTCTTGTTAATAAGCTGCCCAGATGCAGCTTCATATGCATTCAACACTTGCATAATCAGCATCAGAGATGTTTCATCTGAGGACGAGAAAATAATCATGTCATCTGCATACGTCAAATGATTGATCTTTGGATTCCACTTTGGCATCCCAAATCCACAAAAATACAAGTTAGAATAGAATGCTTCTGCTGCCAAGATAAACAAAGTTGGAGATACATGATCACCTTGTTTTACTCCCCTTGAGGACTTAAAGAAACCATGAGCTTGACCATTGATTAGAATAGAATACCAATTGTTTGAAACTAATCCAAAGTCAATCCCTATCAACCTTTCTGTGAATCCCATCTTTCTCATTACCTTTGTTAGGAATAGCCAAGATAATCTATCATAAGCTTTGGTCATATCTTGCTTCAGGATGACATTAGGTCCAACCTTAGTTCTAAGCCTAATGTCAGTGACTATCTCCTGAGTTAAAAGGATGTTTTCTACTATATTCCTGCCATTAACAAAACCTGACTGTTCCTCCGATATCAGACTTGGGAGAAATTTCACTAGCCTTTCATGCACGACCCTCGATATAACCTTATTTGAAAAATTACTGAGGCTTATTGGTCTTAGATCAGAAAAAGTGGTAACTTCTTTTTTCTTTGGTAGCAGAACTAGGTTTTTGTGTGTTACACACTTTGGTAGCTCATGACCATTGAAAAAAGCCCTCACCATGTCGTACAGGTCATCCCTATTATGTCCCAACAAGAATGATATAGCTTGCCTGTCATAACATCTAGCCCTCCAGCACTATCACCATTAAGTCCAAATACTTCCACTTTAACCTCCTCTTTTGTTGGCTGCTTAATCAATTCTGCATTCTGTTCATTGTTAATCAGATTAGGAACATGCTCTACGATATCAAATAAAGAAGGAGTAGCTGCTTCTGTGAACTGTTCCTTATAAAATTTGATAGCCTCTTCTGCAATTTCGTTTTCTTATTCAATCCATGTTCCTCCACTATCTTGAATTCTGTTAAGCTGAAGTCTCTTCCTCCTACCTCTCACTTGTGCGTGGAAGAACTTAGTGTTCCTATCCCCTTCCTTGAACCAAGTCATGCCCGCCTTTTGTTGCCAATATTTCTCATCTAGTGCAAGACATTTGATCAATTCTGCCTGAATCTTTTGTAGCCTTTCCCTGTTCATCCCTGTAGGATTTGCTTCAAATTCTGCTTCATGAACCATCACTACCTCTTCCATGCTTGCTATCTTTTGGAAAATATTTCCAAATGTAGCCTTACTCCACAATGAAAGGGCCTTCTTTAATTTTTTTAACTTGTGATTAAAAATGATAAAAGGATTTGCACTGAAATCAGCTGTCCAGTTCTCTCTCACCACATCTTTAAAAGTTGCATGTTCCACCCAAAAATTCAAGAACTTAAAAGGCTTTTTTATTGGTGGAGTCTCAATATCAGACTTCAGATACATTGGACTATGATCGGAACCAGTCTTTGACAAATGTTGCACCTCTATTCTCGGAAATGTTTGTTGGAATTGAAAATTGGCCAAGCATCTGTCTAGCCTTTTGAATATACAGTCTTCCTCTGCTCTCCCATTCCACCATGTGAATATGCTACTTTTAAATCCAAGGTCGAAGAGATTGCAAGAATGGACGCAGTGTCGAAAATCATCAATTTCATTCAATGACACAAGTAACCCACCAAACTTCTCTTCTTCGTCCCATATTACATTGAAATCTCCCCCTACTAGCCATGGTGCATTCATATCCCTTGCCATTGCATATAATGAATCCCATAATTCTATCCTTTCAATTGCATCACATTTAGCATATATCAATGTTAGAACAAACTCCACACGTGATTCAGTATGAAACAATCGTAGTGTTAATTGTTGCACCATATTGTACATGACAGTTACCTCAAATACCTCATCTATGAATTCCCAGATCTTGTTGGAAACATTTGAAATTACTTGTGCAAGTCCTATCATGTTTCTGTACCTTTCCAATTTTTTTGTTTGTTGCTTTGGCTCCATTAATCCTACAAATTCATAGTGATTTTTCCTGTGCATTTTTGTCAACATTTCAAAGGCATGTTGTGTGTTTACTGACCTTATATTCCAAATGAGAGCATTCATCACTAATTGTTTGATTTAGTCAGCATTCTCCTTGTGTGCACCCCAGGTTTTGGGGCTGCAAAATTATCTTTTTGTTGCTTCTTCTTACCTTTTGCTGCTGATTTTGCCTTTTCCACTTGTGTAGGTGATAAGTCACCTTGCCTTGCAGCATTCATAAGGTGTTGAATAGTTGATTCGTGATCCATGTCGTATCCTGATCTGCCAGGTTCTTCTTCTTCTTCATTGTCTTCCTTCCCTGATATAGCTCCACCTGCATTCTTTTTAGGGACCAAGGCCTTCTTTTCTCCTCGTTTTAAAAGCTGCAACTGCTTTTTCTCCAATGTACCAGTAACATGTACTATTTTTGTTTTTTGTTTTGGCTGTTTCTCCTTCTATGTTGTGTTGTGTTCTTTCTGAAGTTTATCGTCTTCTGTTCCTCCCGGATCATTTACCTCTGGTCCTCTTCCTTCATAATTTCTAATTTCTGTGATTTCTGCTATCTGATAATTATTGTTGTGCTCACCAATTTCTGAATCTCCCATTATTAAAAGATTACCAGATGTATTGTTGTCATTTGCATGGAGTTCTCCATTTACACTTTGCTCATTTACATTTTGCTCACCTTCTTCTTTGTCCTTCTCATTTGGTTCCTCATCAGCTTGTGCTCCTAGTGGTACTTCATTCTCCTCTGAATCGTATTCCCTTTGTGCATCTCATAGCCTGCCTCCACAGCCTTGCACTCTTTCTTTAAATGTAGACGATTTTGATCCTTCTACTTTAGTATTTGGAGTTTTATTAAGTTCCTTGTTCACAACTGTATCTTGTGATGGGATTTCCTTGCATGATGTATTGATCTTCACTATTCCATCTCCTGTTTTATCCTTGAAACTTCTTTCTACCCATTGTGTAGTATCGTTTTTTGCTTTTGATGCTTCATTTCCATTGACTAGACCATTAGTCGAACGAATACTCGATGAGTTAAGATGAAAGACTTGTAATGCTGGATCTAGCTTTCCCTCATTATTGACCATATATTTTGATTTTTGCTTTGTAGATGCTTGGTTATGAACTGCTGGACTGTTAGTTGTTGCATTAGATGCCACCATTGCCAATTGATTAACAGGTTCTTCCTCTTCATCCATCCCTTGTAATATTGCAAACTTGTTAGCTACTTGAACATGATCATTATCTTCATTGTCTACTGCCACCAATTCCTTACCACTGTTGCTTTGTGCTTCTGCTTATCTATCTACATTACTTGTACCCTCTTTGTTCTTGTTGTTTTCAAGCTGCTTATTTGGTGCTATCTCTATTCCATTATTATTGAGACTAGTATTTTGATTTATTACACTTCTAACTCCGTTGTCCTTCACTTCCTTCCATTGCTCTTTTGCTGTAACATTCACATTACCCACGACCTTTCCACTAGATAAAAATATTATAGGCTGTGAGTTCCCTCTGTCCTGCTTCTTAGCTATATATGCTTGGTTAGCATTCTCCTTCTCCACATATAGTTCAGGGTGTATCCTCCAACATTCAAATTGGTCATGCCCTTGAAGTTTACAATGTCTGCAATATTTAGGCATCATGTCATATTGAATTCTCACCCATTCAGTTCTTGTTGTTCCATTAGCTTCATTGAATATGTCCATCCTCACCTTTTTAGGCAAATCTGCAAGTAGATCAACTAGTACCTTCACCCTAGCACAACTTGGTCTAGTTTTATTAATAGTTGCCATGTCCAGATGCATAGGTTTACCTACTGCTGTAGCTAGAGAAAATAGACATTCCTTCACAAAAAGGTTGGCAATAGACCTGGGAATGAGATCCAAGCCATTGCCTTGGGTGTTTCTTCGTCCGCTCTAAACTTTGAGTCATAAATCAATGGCCTAAGCTGATATTGATAGCCATCCCTGTCCTTTATGTAATGAGTTTTTGATGAGAAATGAATATAGTCCTACCTTAACGTCATTCTAATCAAAATGTGTCTATCCCTTAGAAATCCAATGTTACACTCACCTTTAATTCCGCATTGAATAGGTATTAACTTGCGTAGTTGTTGAATTTCTGGGCTGCCATAAGAACATTTACCAACTATTGCATATTGTAATCCTTCGATGATATCCATCCTTTCTACTTCTACTTCTGTGAAGTGAATAACATGCTCTCCATTCAATATTGTAGGTGGACGAATTGGAATTGGCTCAACTTCCTGTTGCTCATGCATTGCAGCATTTAAAGTACAAGGTTTCAGAATTTTAGAGTAATCCATCGGTTGTTTGTTGATATTTGCGTTCCCTGATGTTTGTGCAATGTTTGGATGAGGTTGGGTTTCATTACAGTTGTAATTCTTTAGCACTTTAATTACATGTGAAAGGTGCAACAACTTTGCTCGAAAACGATGCTACTGTAATTTGAAATAGCTTCACGTTACTTATTGCTTATGGCTATGAATCCAATTTCATAGTCCAAACTGTAAAAAATTTAAATTAAAAAAAGCTAATTTAACCCAATCTTAGAAGAGAAGAGAACACTTTCACGTTATCAAAACAAGCTGTTGTGTTGAAAAGTAGCGCTTGAATTAGCTGAATCGTTGTATTTGAATGAAGAAATTTGTCTGCTACAGTAACTCGTGAAAATGAAATTAAGATCTACAAAAATTGACTATAGATCTGAGGTTGAAACCAAGTGGGTATTATTCGTAAGGAAATTATGTATCTTTTGACACCAATTTTGGTTATTTCCACCACCGGATACCGGAGTTATGACCGGAAGATGATGACGGAATTACTATTCCTTCTCTTTCTAGAGAGAAGGCAGAGGTTATTACAACCCTTGAGTTTTAGGTCTCCCCTTTCTCGATTTGCATGCACTTTTTTTAACGTTTCATATATCTGTCTATGCGCATTTTATTTTGATTTTCCTTTGGTTATTTCTGACTAATTTTACTTACCCTAAAAGTTAGGGCTTTTGGTTCTTTGTTTCATTTTTCTTCATTGATTCTGTCTATCTGTTTGTGACTCTTGCCATTAATTGCTTCACTTACCCTAAATATAAGAGTCCTTAATTCCTAGAGATGTTTGATTCCCTAATTATTGTGTTAAAATCCCTGTGTTTTACGCGTCCATGTACTATTACTTTTGGCTTACCTTAAATAATGCCCTGAATTTTCTTTCCTTAATTAGTTGATTGATTATTTCCATGTTTATGTGCTTTAGTCTAATGCTATTTAAACCCCTTCCTTTTTCCTCTTTGGAAAGACTCAGAACTCGAGTATTTCTCACTACTAAAACTATATACTATATTGTTATTCTATTCTGCTTTGATTCCTTGCCGGCAGGAAGCCAATGCCAGAAATCTTCCATTATTTGTTGTTGTTGATGATCATTGTCGCATCATTAAACTTCTTTCTATTTCGTCTGAACTAGTAAGTTATTGAAACTTCCCTACTGTGTCACTTGTTTAATATGCTATTGTTATTAGGCTCATTGCTCTATGTGTTTTAGACATGTTTAAACTCAGTGAATTAATTGATGAAACTTGTTTAATTATGCATAACTTAAGACTTCTACTTTATATTAATTGTGTTTTGACACTGATTCACAATGTGGACTCATTAGTTTGTTGCTAAGTCTGTTGTCATGTTATTTATTTGATCCTATGCTCACCATGTTGTATCCTTTTTGTTAATGTTTATTGAAAACTAATGTGCCTACTGACTCATGATTGATCTCACATGACTTGTCCTAATCTGAATTCTTTATTGCCTTTGTGAAACATGTCTAGAAATTGGTCTTTATCAGCTTGTTTCAAACTTGTTAGTTTCAAGTCTATTTAATTTCAAAGTGTTTGTCTTTGTTTCTGTGTGTGATTCTATCCCTAAGTGTACTTCCAAATCGTGTCCTGCACTCTTCTGAATCCTAATTCTTTGGTGGCTGAAAGACAAAGTAATCTAAGTACTATCCCTTGGCCTTCCTGGTGGGAGCACTACTCAGGATCCTTATGAGACTTTCGTGAACTCTGACACAGCAGTATTTGGTCCATAATTTTCTTTGAATTGGTTCTGATCTTTCTACTCTAGTGTGAGCACTTCCCGGGGTTTGTGAAGCCCTTGGAAACTCTGACACTAGAGAATTGAGCTTGGTATGCTTATCCTTGAAACAAAGGTGAATCAATCATTGGCGTTACTATGAACACTGGCTTTTTGGAGTTATTGTGGGTTGAAGGGCCTGGCCTATTAAGATGTTTTTGGGCCTGTTGCAGGCTTCCTATAGTCTATGCACTTTATAATTTATTCATTTGAATCTGGTCTATAATAATTATTTGAAATGACAATTGGGGTTATAATAAAATTGGGAAATAGGCTTATTTGATATTCTGTATAAAATGGGTTGATAACATGCCTATATGTTTTTTCTACTATTATATGTTAGATAACATGCCCATAGGTTTTACTTTATGCCCAGAAATTGTATGCTGAAAACTTGTCTAAATATTTACGTCTGTCATCGCATGTTAGATAACCCGCCTATAGGGATTTCATTCTGGCTCAAATAAGTTCTACGAGTATACTGTCTATTCTGTTTCGCATGATTAGATATCATGCTTATAGGAAGTACAATAATCAAGTTCAACTTGCAGCATATTTAAATCTGCTTCTGTAGAAATCATGGCTATAGGTTTTAGTTAATTGTCACACTCGCTTAGTTAATATGCATATCTATAGGAATTAATAAGCAGTTTTAATCACTAAGGGTAGAACTCATGCCTATAGGGATAATTATCATTTTGTGCCAGATACTAAAATTGGAACTCTGCATAGTGCCTCGCTAAATTCCGCAAGAAACATGCCTATAGGAGTAACTGAATAATTCCGAGCATTTCTGTTGTCAACTATCGAGAAAATCACATAGATAACC